TATATATAATATTTTTCTTCTTAATATTCGGATACAGACTTATACCAATCCATTCAATTTAGTTTTATTTTACCCAGTTGATAAAAAAATGCTATTTAACAAGTGAAAAATAAATTGTATATATTATATGAGAAATTATAATAACACACATCTGACTTTAGCGTAGGCCATTAGTATCCAGCCCGTAGTACCTTGGTTGCCATCGAGCAATCCCCAGAGTGCATTCCATAGATCCCTCGGTGGATTTCCTCGACGACATAGGTGGCCTGGGATTCAGCTAAGCATTTCAAAAGGGGAGTGGAGATGCCACGCTTGAACAACTTGTCTCCAATGATGAAGAACTTGGCCGAGCGTACCCTCACCTTCCGGGCTTCCTCCTTATCTTTAGGTAGGAGGTTCACAGCGATCCAGAATTAGCAAAAATAAAAACAGCGTTGCTACACGACTCAAATTCTTATAAACACTACACCTTGGAAAATGATAGACTGCACTACAAGGGTAGGTTAGTGTTATCGGCTACATCCGCATGGATCCCCAAATTATTACATGAATTTCACGTTACTCCTACAGGAGGACACTCCGGAATTTATAGAACATATCGACGAGTGGCTCAATCCCTTTATTGGCTTGGCATGAAGAACACCATAACACAATATGTTGTAGCATGTCCTGTGTGTCAACGCAGCAAGTATCTAGCTTCTTCTCCAGCAGGTTTATTGCAACCACTACCCATTCCTAATGCTATCTGGGAAGAAATCAGCATGGATTTCATAGTGGGCCTACCTCGTTCAAAAGGGTTTGATGCTATCATGGTGGTGGTGGATCGATTAAGTAAGTATGGGCATTTTATATTGATCAAACACCCTTACTCTGCTAAATCCATTGCTGACCTGTTTGTGAAAGAGATTATTCGGTTACATGGGATTCCTATTTCGATTATTAGTGATAGGGACCCTATTTTTATGAGCCATTTTTGGCAAGAATTATTCACACGACAAGGTACCCACCTAAAAATGTCAACAACATACCATCCGGAAACTGATGGCCAAACAGAGGTTTTAAATAGAACACTTGAGACTTATCTAAGGTGTTTTAGTTCCAAACAACAGAAGGTGTGGGCAGAGTTTATTCCGTGGGCAGAATATTGGTATAATACAAGCTTTCATGCATCTGCACATTGTTCGCCTTTTGAAGTTGTTTACGGTAGATCCCCTCCTTCCTTGGTACGATTTATTCCAGGAGAAACACTTGTCGAGGCGGTGGCACAAGACCTCAAAGACAGGGATGAAGCTCTGACACAACTGAAATTTCATTTAACACGAGCTCAGGATCAGATGACGCAATATGCTAATGTACATAGGAAATCGGTGGAGTTCCAAGTCGGAGATTATGTCTATTTAAAGATCAGACCACATGGCCAAACATCCATGCCTCGCAAATTACACCCCAAATTGTCAGCTAGGTATTATGGTCCATACCAAATACAAAAAAAAAGAAGCGAGAAAGGGAGACTAACCTTCTTGCCAAGCGTTGGACATCCTTGACAGTCTGCGGGCTCTGCATCTGTATAATGGCCTTGCACTTCTCCGGGTTGGCTTCAATGCCCCTGCTGGTGATCATGAAGTCAAGAAACTTACCTCCTTGGACACCAAAGACACACTTATCTGTATTGAGGCGCATATTGTGTTTTCTGATCTGGCTGAACACCTCGTCTAGGTCATAGGCATGGGCCTCGACTGAAGTGGTTTTGACCACCATGTCATCGACGTAGACTTCCATATTCCACCCAATCTGTTGGTGAAAAACTTTGTCTATCAGTCTTTGGTAAGTGGCTCCCACGTTTTTTAGGCCGAATGACATCACTCACTAGCAGAAATTGGAGTGGTCAGTGATGAACGACGTGTGCACTTCATTTGGTGGGTATATCATGATCTGGTTATACCCAGAATAAGCATCTAGGAAGTTGAGGAGGGCATGGCCGGAGGCGCCGTCAACCAGCCTGTCAATGCTCGGAAGGGGGTATGAGTCTTTGGGACACGCCTTATTAAGGTCGGTGTAATCAACGCACATACGCCACTTTCCCGAGTTCTTCTTGACCAGTACCATGTTTGCCAGCCATGTGGTGTACCTGACCTCGCGGATAAAGCGTACGTTCAACAGTTTTTGTGTCTCGGCTATGATAGCTTCTCGTTTTTCGTCGCTGACCTTCCTTTTTCGCTGGGCCACCGGTTTGGCCTCTTTGTGGATTTCCAACCTGTGACAGATAAAGTCAGCATCTATACCTAGCATATCGGCCTTGGACCATGCAAATAAGTCGGCGTTCTTGGAGATCTCAGCTTCAAGTTGTTGTCGTATCTCCAAGTTTAGTTGTCGGCTTATCTTTGTGCATTGTCCAGGGATTTTATCGACTTGAAGGTCGTCGAGCTCGTCAATGGGACTAGGCCGTTTGTCATAGGATTCTGTCCTTGGGTCCAGGTCAGTGATGTCAACCTTGGTGATATGAGCTACTGTAGGAGGGTCACTTTTGTGGCGTTCCTCGGATGGCAAAACTGTCAAGCTTTCGGCGTAACACTGCCGAGCTTTTTTTTGGTTTTCTCTGATGGAGATGATCTTGCCACTGCTCCTTGGGAATTTCATCGTTAGGTGCGGGGTAGATACCACAGCTCCGAGTTGGTTCAACGTCGGCCTTCCGATGATTATGTTGTAGGATGTGTTGGCTTCAACGAGGAGGTACCGGACCATGATCCACCTTGAGTCAGGAGAGGTCCCGAAGGTTGTCAGCAGATCCACGTACCCTCGGGTGTGGACTCGTTCTCCTGCAAAACCGACTAGGGGCTCTGTGTGAGGTTGGATGAGAGAGTGAGGAATGTCTAACCTTACGAACGTTGGCCAATACAAGACGTCAGCCGAGCTTCCTTGGTCGATCAGCGTCTTGTGGACCTCCCAGTTGGCGACTTCCACCGCGATGACCATTGGATCATCCTGGTTTGGGCTGATGTCGATGTAGTCATCATCCGTGAAGGTGATGGGTGGTGTGTTGTGGTGCGGGGTCGAGGTAGCAGAATGAATGTTGTTGATGCTGCGCAAGTGTCTTTTGCGCGCTGAGCTGCTGGAGCCTCCTCCTACGAAGCCACCTGCAATTGTGTTGATGACTCCGCGTAAGGGAGCCAATCCTGTATCCTGACTCACCTCGGCCTGCACCGCTCCATCATTGTTCTACTGAGAATTAATGGCCCTGGTGTTAGCAATTCAGCATTGGCGACCGTATCTTTTAGGAAGGAAATTCACGGTTTTCACTGATCAAAGGAGCTTGCGATACCTATTGGAACAACGGATTACGACTCAAAACCAACAAAATGTTTTAATTCTCCTTTATTGCAGAATATTGTCAAATCATATTAAAGATACGAGAGAGATAATTTAGCCTGTATACTTGTATATAATTACCTATTGATCAATAGAATGGGGGACGATTCTTTTCCATAACTTTGTTACACTTTTTTTAACATACTCTCTGTTTCTAACTACAAGTTATTAAAAATGGAAATTATGGTAAATGTCACTTCTCATTCAATATTTTGTAATTTATAATTAATAATAAAATGTGTGTTGGAGAATGTGCTTGTCTACTCGTATTTATATTAGATCTAACTCCCTGAAGAAAATACATTTTAAAATATAAGATTCAACTCTTAATAATTAAATAAATAATGTAAAAGTTTTGATGAAATTAAATAGGTGTAATAAATATTAAAATGAATTATAATTTCAACTGTTGTTTTTTAATTAATAATAGGCAATAGAGTGTGTTGTGTCCCTCAACTCAAGTGATATGGAGTGAGATCCAAGTTATATTTATAGCAGCAAACACTTTGTCTTCAGTCCATGTGCGACACTGTCCTAGACTTGCAGAGTATTCATTCACTACACCCGTCACTACGATACTCCCATCTTTATATCCAATCCTTTTTCCTCCCTTCACGCGTCGCCAATTGCCACTTCCTTAGCTGAAAGTGCACCTCTCATAAATATAACTCAGAAGCACCGAATACTTTTTTTTGTGTCGGTTGCAACGAGTCAACCAATTGTGACCTTCTTACCGACGCACGTCTCTGATCATTTGAGACCCAAATGGCCAAATGTGTTTTCCTCCCATGTCAAAAAAAAAAAAAAAAAGAGTCATTTTTCTTGTTTTTGTACTATTTTGTTGTAATTAGAAATTGGAGGCTAATTTCTTTTGTAGAGACCAAGAAAAGTTCTATTGCTTTTTCGTGGGGGAATCCATATTACAAAAAGTATTAAAAGAATAAAAAATATATATAGTTAAAAAATTGAATATCTGACAACAAATTTAAAGAATTAATGATTTATTTACTAAATGTGTTAAACCTTATTAGTATTTGTTTTGAAACTCATAGAATTGTAAAAGTAAGGAAGATTTATAAGTAAAAATGTTATGTTATTAATTTTTGTTATGAGAAAATATTAGCTAGAAAATGTCAAAACGTCCCTATCCAGATAGTAGGTTCTCAAAGTTATATTGTTTCATTATTTTCGGTTCAAAATAAATGTTGTGTTCGCAGCCTCTTCATCACTTTCTTCTTCCATCGACAATTCAGTACGCATTTCCTTTGGTTGCTTGTCGAGTTTACCACATCCCCATTTACCTTTTCATCAACCATTCTCACATATCTTTCTATGATATTTCTTTCGGCACTATCTGAATTGCATCAAAGTGTTGAAGAATAAGAACAAAACAGGTTAATCTTTAAGTTGGAACTGCAACCCTTTATCAAACACTTATATCTTGCTTTCAAGTCTGTGCTCCTTTAAAACGTGAATGGTTTTATGTGTACTTAAATGTTCCATTTGCCTTCAAACTTGAATAAACTTTCCTTCTTTATTGTCCCCATTCTATCTTCCATTATAAACTACTTTCTCAGAATAAAGTTCTTTTCCATTCCTTAAGTTCCTCAACTCAAATTTTCTTACCATTCATCACAGACAAACTGTACACATTCTGAAATGAATCTTATACAAAAAACCCGTTTGAAGTTGCTACTACACTTAAACATCTTTCTGCTTTGTCTTTACTGCACAAGTTCATATCCCACACCCATGAAATGTACAGACACAAGCCGTGTTTGCACTTCTTTCTTAGCCTTCAAGCCTCGACCAAACCAGACTTTGGCTATGATACAAAGCATGTTTGACGTGCTGCCAGATGAGGTCACTGTTGAAGGCAATGGCTGGGAATATATATTCATCAGGAAAAACTGTTCTTGTGCTGCTGGTATGAAGAAGTATGTGTCTAACACCACTCTCACTGTGAAATCCAATGGAGGGTTTGTGCATGATTTGGTAATGGAAGCCTATGATGGGCTTGCTCTCTTGCCAAACACCACTCGTTGGGTTAGAAAAGGTGGTGTCATATCACTGAGCTTGTTCTGTAGCTGCTCCAGTGGACTTTGGAACTATTTGATGAGCTATGTCATCAGAGATGGTGATAGTGTTGAGTCACTAGCAAGCCGGTTTGGGGTTAGTATGGATAGCATTGAGACAGTGAATGCCATTGACAATGCTGATACCCTCGCTGTTGGCTCTCTCTATTATATACCTTTGAATTCGGGTTAGCCTTTGCAATCTTCTTTAACACTTTCATTGTGAGATGGTGCTTGTGTGTTATGTTATGTTTATGTGTGTATTTGTTTGAAAGGGACGTTTAATCCTTTTTAGTCTGATTGCTGCTTTGGTACTATTAATTACTATTGTTTTATGCAAGTGAATATATACTGTTTTCATTTTATAACTAATAGAGGGGATTTGGGAAATTGAGGTGCTTCTAGTAATTAATGTTCAATAGTTGGATTTGGAAATAAACTACTTAATGCAGTACTTCAAGAGCATTGAAGTTGAAAGACGTTCTTTTGGTCACCTAAGCTTATGTACTTTGCTAAATTTAATTTAGTCATGATTGCAATATTCAATTATTTAACTGCATTGCAGTTCCTGGTGAGCTTTACCACTTGAAGAATGACACTCCTCCAGCTCCAACCCCTTCCCCATCTGTTGATAATTTTTCAGGTATGGATATGCAAGAAAAGGAGGAGCCATTTTAGTTTTCCTTCAGAAAGGAAAAATCACTCGTGTCTTTATCTATTTGCAAATTAGTAGAGGTTAAAGTTTTGCTTACATATATTAATCTTGTTCTTTTAGTTTATGCTTATCCTTACCAATGTTATTGATCTCTAAAAGCCCAAAGGAAAAATTATTTAACAAAAAAAAATGTTGTGTAGAAAATTAGTGTTTGAAACAGCAATTTGGTAAAATCTGCATTTATTTACTTGTTTTTCTTTAAGACAAATACATTTATACACCATTTCTACTAGACAAGTGACAAGTCTTACCCCCACTTCCTTTTTAATTAATAAAACAAGACAAACGTACTTCTGAATGCACATTTCTTTTCTTATTTTCCCCCCAAACAATATCTTCTTTTTTTTTTTATCAGCCTCAAACAAGATTGTATTTGTGCGTAAAAATAATTTTCCCTTTGTTTATTACTCAACGCATTGAGACGCGGAACAAAAAGTTATTTGCTTCTCTTGGATTTCACTCATTTGTGATTCAAATTTTGCAGTTTTTTTTGGGTCCAGTTATTTGTGCAATCATTGAGTATGAATTTCTTTTTTCCTGCAGCTGACCAAATCAACCATAAGGCTCGTGTATCCCATGAATGGATCGTTGGAGGTTTAGGGGTTGGTCTTGCTCTGATAATGTTAAGCATTATCCTATGTGTGGCCCTGAGATCACCCAATTGTTTGATTGAAGCCAGAAATAAGGCAAAAGATTCTGAAGGAAAGATCTCTAATAAGTTTTATGTTTTTGGGAATCCAAATTTGTTTTGTGGATGTGGCAAATCTGTGGACCAGAAGCAAACTGACGGTGAATCCAGTAGTCACCAAATTACCAAAGCATCAAGTAACCAGCCTACTTATTGGACTCTTCAATATACACGTTATTGCAGCCTAAATTTAGAAGCTATGCATAACATATTCTATTTGTTATTGCAGCCTTAATACCTGACATATTGGACATGGACAAGCCTGTAGTTTTTTCACATGAAGAGATTTTTTCCTCGACTGATGGTTTCTCTGATTCAAATCTACTTGGGCATAGAAAATATGGTTCAGTTTACTATGGCCTCCTTCGTGACCAGGTTTGTGGCCGTATACTTCTAATTCTGTTATATAATAAGACAAGTCCTTCAGCAGAAAGAAATTATGAAGCAAGTAACTCTCATACTATTTTGGTATGTATTTAAATCATTCTAGGAAGTTGCTATTAAAAGAATGACAGGTGCTAAAACTAAAGAGTTCACATCAGAAATGAAAGTTCTGTGCAAGGTTCATCATGCTAATCTGGTAATGTCTTTGTTGTTCAAAATAAATTACATGCTTTGATTTCAAAACAAAGTACTTGCAGCATTTCAATTTTCAAGAGTTTGAGTCCTATTTCTTTTTAATTTTGTCAAGGTAGAATTTATCGGCTATGCGGCTAGTCATGATGAGTTTTTCCTTATTTATGAATATGCTCAGAAGGGTTCACTCAGCAGTCATTTGCATGATCCTCAAAATAATGGTAAGATCACACCAGCTGCTACTTTACTGTAAAGCCTTTTCTTTTTTAATTTAGAAATACTCGGATAAAATTTATAGAGGAACTCTGGAAGTCAGTACTGAACAAAACTGCTTACATTATTCAAAGATGAAATAGTTTCTCATTTCCATATGCATGTGGTTTAAGAACTGTTTTTTTCTTGCTAACAGGTCATTCACCACTTTCTTGGATCACAAGGGTCCAAGTTGCACTTGATGCTGCTAGGGGCCTTGAATACATACATGAGCATACAAAAACTCGTTACGTCCATCAAGACATTAAGACAAGCAACATTTTACTCGATGCTTCCTTTAGAGCCAAGGTAATAACAAATTTAAGCAACATTAAATTATTTATAAATGTTTTTTTACAGATTTGTTGATTGGCAGATCTCTCTCACTATTTTTCCAGATATCAGATTTTGGGTTAGCGAAACTTGTATGTAAAACAAATGCGGGAGAAACCACAGCAACCAAAGTTGTAAATGCATATGGATATCTAGCTCCAGAGTATGTCTACTTGTACAAGATTATTCCTCTTATATGGAAAGAAATTTTTTATTTTTTATTTTTGTTATTTTGCAGATACTTGAGCAATGGCTTAGCAACGACCAAAAGTGATGTCTACGCATTTGGTGTTGTTCTTTTTGAGATTATATCAGGGAAGGAGGCTATTATTCAAACACAAGGTCCTGAAAAACGATCATTGGCATCTATTGTAAGTTCTGCTTATATGACACGATTTTCTTATTGTAAGTCGAAGTATCGCATGAGAAACTAATGAAGTGTTATCATGTATACTGTCTTGACTTTCTCTGAACCAGATAGGTCAAGCTGATCTACATTCCACCCTAATCACATTACTAAGGAGAAAAATAATTTTCATCTTGTCAAATGACTTTACCGCTTGATTTTTCATTAAGGAATTTTAGGGATGAAGATGACAGTCCACTTTTAATATAAATTAGTATTGTTTTTTCGAATGTATTCTTAGATATATACTAAATTTATGTGAGAGTAAAGCTTAAATCAAATGCAATGGGAATAATAACTTAATAAGTAGTAATTTCTTTGCTTTGACTTTTGATATAGCAATCTCATAAACTTGGCGGCTGCAACACCTGTGCTTTCCTGTACTAGTTGTCGGATTTGTGCTTTATTACACCTGTACATTTCTCCTTGTTTCATCTATTATGGCATGTTAAATTGCAGATGTTGGCAGTTCTCAGGAACTCACCCGAGTCCGTGAGCCTGTCAAGCACGAGAAACCTCGTTGACCCTATTATGATGGATCTGTATCCCCATGATTGTGTATTTAAGGTAAGTTGATTTTTCCATTTTTCTACTGTTATGATTATGGACAAGGTCAAGGGTATTTGTTTTTCACCAAGGTAGACAGAAAATTGTCCAGCTCAGAACCTAATTAAGGAAATGTTACTCTCTTTTTTTTTTCTTCATAATTTCTCGTAGTCATATTATCGGCGTAAAAAAAAATCCATCAACTTTGGAGTAGGCATAACAATTTGCATGATGTTTTATCGTAATGACTCATTGTACTTTGTGTTTTGGTGTGTTCTGAGCGTGCATAGATGGCTATGTTGGCAAAGCAATGTGTGGATGAGGATCCCGTATTACGCCCTGATATGAAGCAAGTTGTGATTTCCCTCTCACAAATCATGCTTTCTTCTGTTGAGTGGGAAGCGACTCTAGCTGGAAACAGCCAGGTATTCAGTGGGCTTGTTCAGGGAAGATAGTTTTACACACCAACATCATTTTCGTCCCACTACTCCATTGTCTTTTTCCCTTCCATTCTTTATACACTCCCTTCCCCTTTTTTCAATAGATATGTAATAAAATAGAAACTTTTGTCATGGAAACGATGTGTCAATTGCGTTTCATTAGACAGAAATTTTTTGATGTAGTAGAGGAAGGATTTCGCTGCTCTCCAATTGGTACCGACATAATTTGTAATTCGGCATTTATATAGGCACGTTTGTACTCAGAGTACTTGCAATGTAAGGCTACATTTTGTGGTTCTAGTTTCTAAATGCTTAAAAATATTTCAAGATTCAGCAATTACTGCTGAAGCAGTTATTGTCTCGACTTTCAAGTATGTTGGTGTATATATATATATATATCCTTGATGCTGCTATGAAATTACAATTACCATACAAATAGAATATAAGGTAGTTGAAACATTGTAGCTACTGCAATATGGTATAATGCTTACTTGACAAGGGAAGCTAGGACCCTGCGAGGTGGATCGAAAGATCTTCTGGAATGAAGGACAGCCCAATTGTCAATCAAGAGAATGTCCCCTTTTTGCCAAGGAATGGCAACAGATTCCTCCTCCAGTATGTGGAGACAATCATAGACAATGTGAGAGGGTAGCGGTTGACCATCCCCAAAGGTTACAGCCTTAACAGGATCATTCAATTCATCTTCCCAGCCGGTGTAAGCGGCCACCATGCTGTTAAACCATATTTTCCGTTGTCTCTTCTCGTCATATTTCACACCCGGAATTGGACCCATTACTGTCTTCACTCCATCTTCCAACCATTCCAGCTTCATACCCAGTTTAGCAGCCCTGCAATGCAAACATTCCGAAACCCAATATTTTTACTCTATTTTACTTTTCTTTTCCATGTAAATAAAAGCTTATTTGGATAACCTTTTGTATTAAGCATTTATAAAAATAGAAAAGAAAAAAAAACTTTTTGTAAGCTAAAATTACCAGCTAATATATAAATTAATTTGTAGAAACTCTAACTTTTACAAAAAACTTATTTTTAACTTATATATAACATTTTTTTTAATTATATTATTGGTGGGAAGTCCAGTGGCATTACCCATGACTCATTTCTGCGAAAAGTCTGATTGATAGATAACATTTGCTTGAGTCACTCCTCTTTTCATCTATAAGATTCAAACTAAAACCTTACTTTATCTTTTTTATAACTATTTTATTGGTATTAATCTCCACCAAGGAATCTAATTGCCTACCTTTCAACTACATTTAATCGGACAGATGCCTTGTTGGTCCTAAAAGCATACTTTAAAAAGAACCTAATGCAGTTCCCTTAGTCTTCTTCTATAAATACTCACGGAGAAGTTTACTTAAAAATGTCAAAATAAATGATTAAAAACATCAACAGGAAAAAAAGAACCTTTGTTGAGCGAGGTCTTTGTCGGTGGTTAAGAATGTTGATTTCCAGCCACGGCCAATTGGAGAGGAAGGGTTATCGTCTTCCCCTAAAACCCTGGTGTACAACAAACCATGCTTCTCTAGTCTCTGAACAAAGTAAGGGTACTTGTCCCTCATCCTTTGGTAAACCAGATGGCTGAGAACAATGGGGGTTTCGCCCCCACTCCGGGGCTCCACTTGGCAGAAGAAGAACAATTTGGAAGGGAATTCAGGAACCTGGGCCATCTCGTGGTGGAAAGGGATCTTCTGATCGGGAGGGGACTCATTGGCGGTGAAGACACGACCCACGACGTTGGTGCGGGGAGCGGCGCCACCCACGTAGGGAAGCTCCTCGTAGCCGAAGGCCTCCACGACGTCGTTGAAGTGGGAAGGAGTGGAGAGAGGGAAGCCCCTGAAGAGGACAGCGCCCGATTGGAGTAGGAGTGATTCGAGGAAGGGTTTGTGCGTTTTGACGGCGTCGGTGAGAGTGAGAGGCGAAGACACCACCGCAGGGAATGGAACTCCGTTCACCAGCTTCTGCCCAGGAACTTGGATTTCCACAAACGCACTTCCCATCTTTTTCTTTCTTTCTTTCTTTTCCTCATCGCTCTCTCGCACCGCGGAGAGGATAAACTCCAGAGTCTGCTTCTCCCTCCGATTGCGACCCCGTTACACGCCAAATGGGCTTTCCTATGGCCCATTCTAGCCGCCACCCATGGGCTCATGCTCATCTCATCAAAACACTTCAGGCCCGCCCTTATTTCTGTTAATACAGTTACGCGAAATATGTACAATAAAAACTGATAAATGCTCTATACATCTATTGCATAATTTCTTTCATACTATCTTTCAATTATAAATTCTTATGTATTCATAATTGATTTTTTACAAAATTTTATTAAAATTATATATACTATAGTCTGTGATTGGTTAAAAGAAATTATACACTTTGTATTATTTATCTAGGGTTTGTAATTTATAAAACATCAATTAAGAAAAAAAATTTCGTGTATATATATATATATATCGTAGAATAATTTTTTTAAAAAATAAAACAAAAGTAAATGATTGATAATTAAAGGGTCGACAATTTTTGAATAGTTGTAATTAAGTGTAGAGTAGTTATTGAACAATTTTAAAATAAAAATAAATATCTTATAAACAATTGTGGAAAGCGAAAGAGTAATGTGAAAGGTACATATAAGAACAGAAATTGTATACACACACAAAAAAAAAAGATAATTCTCTTTATTATTAATTTTGAAACATAAATATATTTTTTATTTTATTTCTTAACCCCTCTCTTAGTTTTTTATTTTTATTTTTATTTTTGACCGAAATTTCTTTCTTAGAGATGACAATGAGTCTCATGGAGGTGGGTAATAGTAAACCCGTCCTCACCTCGTTAGATGAAAATTGGCACATATCTATCACATACTCGTGCGGGTATCCGTTAAGCGGATATTCATGAATTTCTTGAATATCTGTGGATATCTATGAATATTTATAAATTTTTTAAGAAATTAAAAAATTAATTATAAATAATTTTAAGTTTATATTTAATGTCATTAAAATATTAAAAATAAAAATTTAATGTTAATTTTGAATTTGTAATTAACGTTAATTTGGTTGAAATAATAATAAAAAAAATAAGATATTCAATAACTTAAAATACATTAATCTCACAAGTAAGTGAAAGTCTCATATCATAAAGTTACAATAATTCAATCTCATAATGTGTGATGACTAATGTGTGGGTTGTGCGATTATGAAAGAAAAAATAAGACGAGAGAGTGTAGTTTTATGGTTATGTAGTACAAAAATAATTAGGATATTTAAGAAAGGTTATTAAATGGGTATCCGCGGGTATGGATACCATCATACCCGCCCTCACCCCGTTTATAAATGGGTAAAAAGTTATCCATCCACATTATCCACGGGTATCCAATTAGTTTACCTATTTATTATCCGTAGTGAATTTTATCTACAAATACTCGCGGGTACGGGTATTTTTGCCATCCCTACTCTTTCTTAGTTATTTTTTCTTGGTCATAACTTTTTTTCTTCAAGTTTTAACTTTCTACTTAAGCATAATTGTATTTGTGCCTCCAAACTTTCATATTGTCATGGATTTTAATGCTAACATCAATATTCTGTTTATATTTTAACGTAATATTGACAGAGTATAATTCGCAATATTCTCAAAATTCAGAAAAAAATCTAAGGAAAAAAATAATTATTTGAAAACAAAATTTGGGACTATTTAACAATTTAGGACACAAGATACAGTTAAAAATACAATAAAGGGTTTGTGTGTATACTTTTATGATGGTTAAAAATCCACGGCGGGTTAAAACGAGTACTCGTATACTCTATAGTCTTGACGGTTACTCAAGTGGATCAGTAATAAAAAAGAATATCAAAGAGAAAAGTAAAAGTGGAGTGAAGTTTGGGTGAGTACTGTACTGCAAGTCAATAAAGTGCCAAACATCGCTCTTAAACCCTACATTCTCTCTCTTTCACTGCATTTCTGATTTCTAAAACCTCAATTCTCTCCGATGGCGGAAGCCACTCAATTGACTCGCCACATTGAGTCCTACGTCGATTCTTCTTCTTCTCTCACGCACCAGGTCCATTTCCTTCTCCCTACTTCTATTTATTTCACAATCACTCTTCCCTCTCTCCTACGTCATTCATTGATTTTGCATTACAGGCTGCAACTTTGAACGCAATTGCAGCTCTCGTCAAAACTGATGCTTTACCTCTGCAAGCACTGGTACCTTTCGCTTCGCTTTATCTGTTCGTCATTCCTTTTTTCTTTTTCTCAAACAACGAAACAATAGTAGAATCTTCATGCTTGCTTAATTTGTGTCTTTGCTGGACTTGTTTTGTTTCTCCTGTTTCGAAATCTAGGTTAGAGAGTTGGACATGTATTTGACCACAACAGACAACGTTATTCGTGCAAGAGGTGCGTTTTTTTTTCCCTTCATTTATTTTAAAGCTATCATAGCATTTGTTTTTATATAATAGTCGCTGTCAAAATATAATGAAGGAAGTGAATTAAACTAATTTTGTGATGAATTAGATGTCAGTAGGAGGTTATTTTAGTTCCACCACACAACCAATGTCGCATTCATTTGAATTATCTCGATAGCAGTCTCACATTCGGTAGAATAAAAAGTTTGACGTGGTACTTAGATCACAAGGCTCCTCCACTTTATGGACTAGTTTTTTGTGTTGGACTTACTCTTGCATGCCCTTAAGTCCTATTAATTGGTGCTTTCATTGGAAGTTGGACTAAGTTGGATTAAAGTGTAACACCGATAATTGATAGGTGAGTGAAGCCATCAAAGAAAAAAAAAACTACCATTAAGTCAATGTCGATACAGTCAAAGCCATTGTAGACGTAGGCTCTTAAAGGAGGTGAGTGACAATGTTAGGAGTCTCACATTGAGTAGAATAAAAAGTTTGATGTGGTACTTAAATCATGAGGTTCTCCCACCTAATTGACTAGTTTTTGTGTTGGACTCTCCTGTTGTGCTCAAGTCCTAACATATCCCCACCTGAAATTTGGTACAAACTAACACTCACATGTTGCGTGCTCTTTCAGGCACACAGATATGCTCTCTACTTGTGCTTTTTTATGTATGAATGTAATTTAAGTTGTATGTATTTGAAGGACAGTGGACTGTCTTATTAGTTATTTCTGATTGTCTCTTGGATAAACCTCTTCAGGAATTCTTCTTCTAGCAGAGGTGATAACTCGTATTGAATCAAAACCTCTTGACAGTGCAATTATACATAGCTTGGTTGGATTCTTCAAGGACAGACTGGTCAGTATGAATATTTCTTTTGCCAGATGACTTTTTTAAGTTTATGGTTTTAGAGTTTCCTAAACTTTTGTTCCAGTTTGTATCTGTCAATGACTTTCTTGTTCCCTCTGTTTATTCCTGCAATTTCTTTTCCTTTCTTATTTTCATATCATGGAGATTGCATTTATGGTCCAAATCTTGATTGGATTGGGCTGATTTCATTGTGGAGATCGACAGATTTGATGCTATGTTTATAAGCTTTAAATTATTTAAACTCTTTCTCATAGATAACATACCGAGACTGTATGTCTTTGTTTGCTTATTAATTTGAAGAAAACAGAATTTGTGATGCATAATTGCCTCAAATTTTGGGTTTTGATATTTTACAAAACTCTTGTGCTTCTTGAGCCTTGAGATTGCTGGTTGAACAGGATCCTTTTGCATTTTTTACTTTACATAACTGTTGTGATTGGTGATCTATTATCTATTTAACCATATCTAATTTTCTCATGATATTTTCTAATGACATAAACAATATAATATTATTTATAATCAGGCAGATTGGAGAGCAGTACGAGGTGCACTTGTGGGTTGCTTGGCATTGATAAGGAGAAAAAGTGTTGTGGGTATGGTAACTGGTAGTGATGCCACAGCAATTGCTCAGTCTTTTTTACAATACATGCAAGTTCAGTCTTTAGGACAGTATGACAGGAAGGTAAATTATTTTTATGGCCAGAAAGGCAATAAATTTAAAGCTTGTGCTTACAGTGTAGAATTACCCAAAAAATCAGAGAAGACATCAAATTTTGACTGAGACAAAAATAATTTCAGAAAAAGATATCTGTTTAAAATGAAAATAGCCACTAGGAGTGGTTATATATTGGCTTCAATTTTTTTACCAATTAATCTGATTCAGTTTAATTTTCATTATGTTAAATATTTTTGTACAGAGTTCTTCTGTAATTTTCCTCCTTTTGACTGCATATGAGCTAAATCTGCTAAATATCTCATCTTTACTTTCTTGGTTTCAATACTGCAGCTGTGCTTTGAACTGCTTGATTGCTTGCTTGAACGCTACTCTGATGTTGTTACTACACTGGTAATCTTAGCTTCCCTAAACATCTGTATAAGTATGAATAAATCTAGAAGAAAATGAAAGTCCTGAATATTTATTATTCAATTTGATGATATTTAATTTTATTTCTCATCTTCAAATGTATTTTAAGACTCTAGATATATGTTTTGTTTAACACAACCATTCTCCTTTCCTTCTGCCATCACTTCCCGGGATATACAAAATATAACCAGCGAGTTTCTTGGGTATAGCTTAAGCTGAAGACAGCATAGTTGTGAAGCAAATATAAGTTGGACAAGTTTATACAGCAACAGCATGTTGATTAATGTTGTGTCTCATGTTTTATCACCATGAATATATAATTACACATCTTATAAATTGTCTATGCTGAGTAGAATATCTAGTTTTCTTTTGTTCTACAAACTACAAAATAACTGGTTTGCATGATTGAAATCAATTCATTTTAAAAAAAAAAAGTGAATTCTTGTAATGTTTATTAACTTTTATGTGGAGTGTTTGGATTAGCTTATATCAGGAAAATAATTATTTTTATTTCTTTGCAATATCTTGAGAGAACTCAAAAACAATTTAAAAGCATTTTGTTCTCAAACGTGCCTGCAGTATTTGAAAATAGGACTGTACCTTTCTTGTTTTGCTTAAATTGTGATGTACATATTGGAATTTAAGCTATCTAACATTTTTTCCATATTCAAATAAATGTTATTGGGGATACAAAATGATGAAGTACAAGAGCAGAGGATAAGATATCCAACTAAAAATAACAAA